CGACAATCAAGAATATAAAACATGAACGACAAATATAAAACACGTATGTTGAACCCTTGATGAAGCATATGAAATACAAGATGATAACATAAAAACATTTACTCGAATGCAAAATTCATGTGATGAACTTCAAATACAAACCATCAATTTTGGCGGGGATGGAACGCCATACTAATCGGGGTTTGAACAAATGGACCCAGTGCATCTTTACCATTGATATTAGTGGATATTTTGACTCTGAAATAAGGCTAATCTCGAATAAATGTTATCAAAAAACACACAGTGGTAAATCGAAGAATACTAACTGATCGCATAGAGTTGGGATTTCTAATAGCCTTTACTGTTAATTTTTGATCGCTCAAACTGTACACGAAACGATGATGGCTTAAGTCGACGAATTCTTGGTATTACACTAGTACACTAGCGATTTTTGCTGCGATTTTTGCTGCGATTTTTTGTGATTTTGTCCATAATAAATAATGATAAAGAATTTACTTGTAAAGTTTTTTTAGGATACCAAGATTCAGGGCTGTCAACCCCCGAGATATTCAAATCTGGAGAATTGATAGGGAAGGGACATGACGTCACAGCGCGTCAAAAAGCGCGCGAAAAGACGCCTTTCTGCTTGTAACATTTGATGTGATTGGTTTATTTCTGACCAATCAGATTATCGCTTACATTACAATGGCCTGCTTGCAAGAACAGCCATGAGGAACGTTTTGATTTTGTTAGCGATGTAAAATAACACAAGCAACATAAGATAATTGGAATTTTATGGTTGTGAAACTCGGGTCTCACAAGAAAAAATGGTCAGCTTCGGGGATTATCCGGGAGATTTGAGACTCTAATCTGGAGACCGGGAGATACGGCCCAAAATCTGGAGACTCCCGGTTTATCCGGTAGAGTTGACAGCCCTGCTAAGATTTTCCTAGACGAATGTCTCTTTGAAGGATGAGACAAAAGATTTCATATTTCCGAAAATTGCCACAAAAACCGCAGCAAAAATCGCCAGTGTAAACGGGGCTTAAGATGGATCAAGCATGAAGAAGATCAGCCATTAATCAGTTGTTTTGCAATATCTAAACAAAAGCTGTTGGTATTGTCCAGATGGATTCATTCTCTTGGGATTCTAAAAGCTTATGCTTTTTTGAATAAGGACTTTAAAAGCCGGAATTSTGGACTTTGTTTTGCTAACATATTAGTGACTAGAAATCCTGGCAGTTAGGTAAAAGATACTAGAAATGTTTTGGGTGTGTTATTGAACCGTGAAAACGTGGAAACTTTGGCTCTATATTTTTATTTGCTGGTTTGATAGCAGTGTAGTAAATGATTAAGTTCCTTACTGTTTCTTTCCGGTGCTTTGAGGGTTTTCAAATTCTAAATTCTAATTGTAATTCAGTGCCAAGAGTCTCTCTGTGGAATCGCCTGTTAATTTCCATTAATTTTTTTCATTATTTTTTTTCATCCATCCATCCATCTATCCATCCATGCATCAATCAATTCATTATTATTTATTTATTATTTATTTATTCATTACAGGTTTTGTTGACCCAAATAATAGCAACAATGGCAATGGTGGATCCCAGTCATGTCAGAATAAGCCGTGCCAGTATGGTGGAGTATGTCGCACTGATGCCAATGGTATTAGCAGATGTGTCTGTCTGTCCACATGCACCAAGGAGTATAATCCGGTGTGTGGTAGTAATGACAAGACTTACAACAACCCTTGTTTATTGAATGCTGCACAATGTCAGACACAGAGATCTATCTTTAGGAGACACTATGGACAATGTGGTAAGGTTTTTTATTCATGTTTACTGTGCAATATTGTTATTTGGTATATAGCTTAAATAGGACCTGTAGTCTGATTGGTTAAGAACTGTGCTGTGTTGGTGAACCAAGCATGGTTGCTGACGTTATCTGTGCTCGCACAGCAAACTTTGCAAAGAAGTGTAAGAAAACAGCACTGAAAAACTACAATTGATTTTTCTTTCTTTATAATAAAACAGCTTTTTTTCTTGCTTGGTCCAGTGATACAGCACACAAGATGTGTGATGAAAACATGAAATAAGATTGAAGAGCAGAGGATGTATGCTTATACATCTATTTACATACAGTTTGTCTTTGTCAGTGTTTTTGAAGCTTCACTATGCTTATTTGGTTTAATGGTGCTGTACAGTTACTGGAGTATGTTAGTGTGTTTGACGCAAGACTAGTCTCAACGCAATAGTATATATTATAGGAACCTGCAATAAACGCAAATACTAATAAGATATGGGGTTAGAAAATGATCCACAGTGTATTTGTGTTAATGTAGGACTTGAGGTTGCTTCATGCCTTTGGGGTTGGGTGGGAGGGTCATCACGAAGTTAAATCTTCCGCTACAAGACATAAACTGTGACAAAGGCGTGGAGTGGTTTAATTTATACTGTGCAGTGCATTGTGGGGTATCATTGTTATGTAAATTAGTCATCTTTACTTCCATTACTTATAACATATAATAGACAGACACCAAGTATTAACTTCTGGGTGTACTTGTATTCCCATCACAGGTGCTTCTAACTGTGCTGGACTGAAGAATGCTGGGATAGCTAAGGTCGATGGAGTCTATTCCATATACCCAAACTCAAGCTGCAACATGCCTGTTCAAGTTTACTGCCATAACATCAACACCCCCTTTCCTAAGGAATACATCACTCTGGCAGCAGGCGAGGAAGAGAACTATGCATTTATTTATCCTCGAAGACAGCGCCTTGCGCCAATGTCAGCACGCAATGCCTGTAACGGACCACCGGGAAAGCAAAACTATTCCGCCGCGGGAAGGACAAAGTTCAGCAAAGTGCGCCTTGATTTGGACAACATGAGGATTATACGGGAAGATTTCACATTTGCTGTAAGTGATCCTTTTGGCAAGCAGATTCCATATGGTTCTGCAGGGGATTGCTTCTCGATGCATAGTGGACCTTGCAGGAGAGGACACTTTAAAGTAAGTTGACATCCATTTTTTATTTCCTTTCCTTTCCTTTCCTTTC